GCCTCCTCCCCCCCTCGCACCCGAGGGAGAGGAGTGGACCCAGGCCTTCGAACAAGCCGCAGGCCCCAGAGTCTGGCTTGGCGTGAGGGATTCTCCAGACTGCTGCAGGCCCAGGGAGTTTCTAGCATGGCTGAAATGTCTTCGTGGGGGTGAAGGAGAAACTCTCCCGAGTAACTCCAGGCCGGGTCTCCAGACAGAGGTGATACGAGAGCCTGGGTGGTGGAACTGCCCTCCACCCCCTGCTGCTCAGTGTGGCCAGGCCCAGTAGCACCAGCGTCAGCTCAAACCTCAGCCCTGCCCGCCTCACCCTCCTCGCCATGTCGGAAGGTGCTGGGACCAGGTGGGGCGGGGGCCTGGGTCCATCCTCTACCCATCAGCTCCTTCGAACAGCTGCAGGATGAGGAGCCGGGGCCCAGTGCCCCGCAGACAGAATCGGTGCCAGAAGGTGAGGTCTTGCTGCTCCCCTTCCTCACACATCATGCACCCAGTGAAAGGGCTGTGGCTCAGTGGTCCAGTGCTTGTCTGGCAGCTTGAGGCTCGGGTTCCATCCACAGGGACAGGGAGGGGGAGCGAGAGGAGGGAGAGGGGAGTGGAGAGGGAGAGGAGAGGAAGAGACAGACCCACACGCGTGCGCACACACACCAGGGAACACTAATACTACTCAGCAATGAAGAAGAATGAGCGCTTGGTACACGCAGCACCTTTAGAAGGCGCTTATTATCGTTTGGATCTAAATGTCCCCAAAGGCCAGCAGGGGAGCTTTTGGGGACTGATCTTGTCATGAGGACACTCGCCTCCTGGACAGATGACTCCTTGGAGGACTTTGCAGCTAAGTGGTTTTTAGGAGGTGAGGCTTTGTTGAAGGGCGTGACCTTGGGCACACACACGGCCCTTCCTCTCTGGTTGTCCTCCCTTCTGCTGCTGGCTGCTTCGAGCTGAGCAGCTTTCCATTCCCCACGATGTTTATCACAAGCAGAAAAGCCACAGAGACCACTTACCATGGACCAAACCTCTGAAACCGTGAGCCGAGGTAACCCTTTCCTCCTTTGACTCTCTCTGGTGTTTTGCCACAGTGACAGGAAGCAGCCATCTCAGGAGCACTGGGCTGAGTGAGGAAAAGGGCCAATCTTGAAAGTCCTCTTGAAAGACCTACACTTACAGAATGTCTTTGAAATAGCAAAATTACAGCAATGACGAATGGATGACCGCTGGGGGTCGGGGACCCAGCAGTGGAGGAAGGGGGCAGGGCTGACTAGGAAGGCTGACCAGCACAGGCAGACCTGTGGCTGTGGAATGGAGATTGTGATGGTGTTCATATGAAGTTGCATGTGATGTCACAACTCTAAACACACATGCTGCATCAGTGTCCATTTCTGTTTTGTTTTGTCTTGGTGGTTTTGAGATGGTTGGAGGCTGACCTGGGACTTGTGACCCTCCTACCTCAGTGTCCTAGGTGCTGGGATTACGGTGTGTGCTACTGTGCCTGGCTGTACCATGTCCCCTTCTGGCATTGATGCTGCAGTTGGCTCACATAAGCTGTCTCCACTGGGGGAAAAGGAGTGGGCAGTGGGTGGCCACGTTCTCCTAAGATGCGGTCTTCAGAATAAAGCAGCAGGGGAACCTCGTCCTGGGATTGCGTTTGGACCTGGCTGGGAGCCTGATGTATAGAAGCCCTCATTGCTCACTCTGGCCCATTCTGGAAGTCTGGTCACAATGCTCCAGCCCACTGAATGAGGTGAAGGGAGTGCAGCAGACCCCAGACCCAGGACAGAGCTCAGAGCTGAGGAAACAGGTCCAGGATGCAGGCCAGGCCTGATCAGGGTCCTCATGCAGCAGGTGGCAGAACAGCGTAGCACCCTTCTCTCCTACCAACTCTCCCCCGTGCAGCTCACATCTTGGAGATCCAAGGTGGTACTGAAATCAGAACTCATCCAAAAGCCACAGCCACCAGCGGATCGGCAGGGCATCTCTCATAATTGCCTATTCATGCTGAGGGGTTGGCTTTTCAGATTCGGAGCTAAACTGGGAGCTATGTCCCTTCGAGGGACATGGCTATCTGACTGCCTCATCAGGGATGGCAACAAAGGGTGATGTGATTGCTCAGTACAAGTTCTATTTTTTCTACCAAGCAGGAAGTTCAAAATCTGCTGAGTTATTTTGAAAGAGGCTGGAAAAAATAGGCACGGAAACGGCTTCTGCAATGGCCCTGTCCAAAGACATGTGCTGCTTTGGCCAGAGCCTGGGCCCAGGTGGAGGGAATGGGGCGATGTGACACATCATCAGGGAGCATGTGCAGTGCCAGGGAGGGGGTGATGATAGCCACACACTTGAGCGGCAGCAAGGGACATGTGGGTTCAGCTGAGACTCGACGGGGACAGCAATGGTGGCTTCCTGAGTTGACATTAGGCCCCGAGACTCCCTCCTCCCTCTGCGCAGAGCCATGGGCTGTGACCCGGGACCATGGCTGTGACGCTGGCCCTGGTGGGTGTGGACCTGTTGGGCCACGTGTGGTGCCTTGGACCTTAGAGGGTCACCGTGGGAACCTCCTGTGACAGGGTCACACATGACAGAGTCACATTCCTGAGTCAGCAGGAATTTGGAAGACCTTGCAACCCCAGTATTCAGGGAATATTATATTTCCAGGAAAGGAAAACCAATGGGCTTGGCTTCCACTGACTTAAACATTTGTTCTTTACTGACTGCGGGAGGCTCCAGGTAGGGGACTTTCTCTATGGCCTTGTAGTAGGCAGCAAACCTTGAGAAATTACTGTTGTGGAACATTCTAGAAATGAGCCTTCCTTTCCGGGTGTGAACAGAGCCTCCTCCCTTCTCACCCTTGGAAGCCTGGACATGCCTGTTCTGTGCCATCAACAGTGGGCACCCATGCTGAGTCCTCCCTTCATTCCCAGAGCACCCCGTCAGGAGCTGTGGATAGCTAAACCCGAGTTTCCAGAAGGAAATAGGTCCATGGATTCATCTGTCTGTGAGGCTGGTGCACTTCTGACCAGATCGCTTCCAAAAACCAGGTAAGGACCTCGTCCCATGTCTCCCAGCTCACAAGGAGCCCATCTGGTTTGGTTTGGGAAGGTTTTCAGGTCAGAGCTGGGTCCAGACCCATGGGGAGGGCGCCGGGAGAAGGTGCAGGGGCCATTGGAAGGGAAAGTGACACTTCAGTGATTGCCTCTGTGACCCAAGGTGGCAAATGTAAGGCTGCAAGGCTAGGAGAGATGAGTACCAATGCTGAAGACAGGGACCCCAGGGCTGCTGCAACAGACTGTTTTTTCCAAGGGCCTTTTATCCCCTTTGCCTGGAGTTAGGTAAAGGAAGCTCACAGCTGGACAGTGAGCTCAGGGCTCTGCTCCCAGCAGGAGCAGCACATTTTGCCTAGGGCTTTTCAGGGAAAAGCAACATGAGATCCCATGCGGAACAGCCAGACAGGACCGGAGGGTCGTCCCTCCAACCCTGCCCATGCGGACTGGACTTCCTCCCACGTGCCTCTGCTGGGGCTCTCTGTGGGCTACTGGGGCCCTAGTCCCCACGGACGAGGATGCTCAGGTGTGGCAAGCATGAGCTAATTCTGGGGGTGTGCAGGGAGCTAAGGGACCCTGTCCAGGCAGCTGCATGCAGGTGCAGTTCTTCTGGGCTCCCATTGTGAAAGGAAGACCTATGGGGGGCTTGAGACAGGAACCACTCCCCAGGGGCCCTGTCCAGGCTCAGCAGGCCGAGACGCCTGTAACAAAACTGGCTGTCGCTTCCTCAGATGATGGAGACCACAACAAACCAGGCTTGAACAGTACTTAAATCAACCAATTGGCTTTTCATGTTTACTTGTGAGTCTGTCCAAAGCCTAGACGGCTTGTCTGGAGATGGGCAGCACACTCATAGTAAGTGAACCTTTGTGAGTCACTGGTCCCCGGTGAGGCCTGTAATCTTGGGTAAAGCTGTGAAGCCTCAAAAGATAAGACAAGGTCACAGCCAAGGACACCTGGATCCAACCTCAACTAGATAAAGACTAGCCTCAGGCATCCACTCTTGGGTGGATTAATTTAAAACCGTATTTGGAGAAGTCCTTGAGAAGTTCCACCCTTCTTGAGTACTCCTCTCGCTTCTTCTGCTAACTAAATATATATGGGCCACCCAGAGAAGATCTTGGTCTTAGCCTCGAGAGAACTTTGAATTCTGTGAGAGAGTGCTGATCCTCCTGGAACCTTGAAATCATTCCATTTGCCTCTTTTATTTAGCCTTCACCCTACACTCATCGGGGGAGATTGCGGACCCGATCAGCCTGCAATAACTAAGGGATAACATTAACCTGATACTCAGGAACTGAGTCAAATAGCTCTCTACCCTGAGGCTACACAGAGGGTGACACCCAGTCAAAAGTAAAGCGCACTTTTGCTGGCCTGCGCCCTGGTGCTTGGCTGCTTTGGCTGCCTCTTAAAGCAGCAGAATTGGACTGCGGAGAAGCCAGGGCGAAGACCTGGGGAAGGCATGGGGTCGGCCCTGTACCTGGCCCCTGGCTCAGTTCTGGGGACACCCGGCAGGTCCCGCGGGTTAGCCAGGGGACTCCTCACTCCAGGGGCTTGCCTAGGCCAGAGCAGCACCCCCCACACTTGGTCTGACCTTAGCAACAGCTGGTTGCTTACCTCTTTGTACCCCAACTGCTCCCTGGAACACTGCCGCCATCCAGGAGCATGAACTCACCTCTGTCCTCGGGGACACCGCTTGGAGAGTCTTTTCTCACTGCCCCACCCTCCGAAGTGTCCCCCGGCTGCACACTCGAGGGACAGGCGAGTTCTCCAAGCAGGCAGTAGATACCAGCACGGGACCCAGCTGCCTCCCACCTGACAGGAAGCATCCCCGCCAGCACCAGGAGCACCTCTTCCGGCCAGCGTCTTCCTGTGCCTCGCCTGCCCACCGTCCAGGCCCTGAGCTGAGGGGAAGATCCGGCCGGAGTCAGGAGGTCCAAGCTCACTCACACCACACAAAGGAGGCACAGCGTGGGAAAATCACTTCTTTAATGACCGAGAAAGCACACCAAACTGTGACAGAAGCCCGGGTGGGAACTGCCCAGGTACAAACCCAAACCCAGAGGCCCCGAACGCACACCAGACATTCACAGAGAAGTCGCCAGCGGTGGGGACTCCTGCGCGGGGCTGATCTGAGGGCTTCGCTGTGGCACCCCCTCCTGGGGCAGGACAGACTCCTCCTTCCTCGGGGGACCGTGGGGCCAGAGAGGTTCACAGATGATGGTGGGGAGGAGAAGCCGCGGCTGCATCACAGAGGCCAGTGCTGGGGACGGACGACAGACACAGGCCACGCGTGGAACAGGACTTGGCTGAGGGCGCAGGGGGCGAGTGGGAAGGTGGACTGCAGCGCCTCAGAACCCGGAGTCTGGTGCAACTTCCCACAGGCATGCTAGGAAACGGGTTTGTCAACCAGACCGTGCCACCCCAAAGGGTAAGAGTCATTCTCCTAGTTTTAAACTGTACGTATCTAGGTTTCAAATTAAAGAACAAGAAAAAGGCCGCAACTCAGAAGTTATTGGAATATTGTGGCACTTCACCAATCTCTTTTGCTTATATATAATATATATATGTATATAATATATGGCAGGCGAACAGAACCCTGTTGATATAGACTTTCGTTATAGAGAATCCAGACTGTACACTGTCAGAATACAGAAAGTACCTCCTATCATACATGGTTCATCTTGAAAAATAGTCTAACATAGTCATACTCTCTGGCTAGTAACAAACTATTAACATCTTCTGAGAATACAGCAAAAACTCTGAGTTAAGACTAAATTCTCTGACGTGCGCCCCCCGCCCCCCAACATCATCTGTGAACGCATTTCTGTAAAAGCATCCTGGGTTCATTCATGATTAGAGAAGAAATGGATATGCGTGTGTCACCAGGTGGATTTCTAAGCAAGAACTGATGGGACATTTTTACCTTGGCAAAAAATGAAGCACAAACATAACATCATACAGGTTCTGGCTCATGCAGATGCGTGTTCTGTTATGTGGGGTGTCCTATCCTCACCCCGGAACCACGATTAGCATGCATGTGGTTTCCAACTACTGGACTAGAGAGAGTTTGGCAGTGCACCCCTTCTGTGTGACCGTGATCACTAAGGCATGATTATTTCACCTTGTCCAGGGTGTCAGTGAGAACTTGCTGACCGTGTGTTTACATAGGGTGGACCTGCGGCTGACTGTTTATAAAAGAAGAGAAGAACCTCAAAACACAGATCCCTAAACACAATTCAGTTGAAAATGAACTGTTAAGCTCTTAGAAATATATTTTAAACTACAAGACTGCCCTGTTGTTGTTATAGTATGAACAGTTTTAAAAAGTTCCCACCCCTAAAAATGGGCCAAATGATTTCCTCATTATGCATAACGGCCTCATCCATGAGCTCCCAGGTTTGACCTCTGCTCAGCGCAGCCTCCGAGGTCTCAGACATGCGACACAAACACTTTGGGGTCGGCATCGGTGTCAGACATACGACACAAGCGCTTTCGGGTCGGCACAGTCTAGATCAGCCAGGAGCCTGAGCAGCCTTTTGGTCTCAATCCATCCAGGGGACAGTGGCCCCAGGGCTGGGTTGGCTAGGTGGCCCCATGTGGACTGGAGGCACCGCACCGCTGCACCCCACTCTGTGCCCTGAGTTCCAGCAGGAGCGCACAGGAGCTGAGCTCACTGGTACAAGAACAGCCGAGGCCGTGGAGGTCGCTCCGTGGCCGAGCCACAGATGCCAGGTGGGGTCGCGTGCATCAGTGCAGCCAGCGCGGAGGGACGCTGGCATTCTCGGGCCACCTTCACACACTGGACACTCACACCACGGAGCCCTTGGAGGACGACAGGTGGATGGACTGAATCCTGATGGCCAACGTCCTCTGTAAGTCCTGGAGCACATCCTGGCCCGCTCCCTCACCGTTTTTGTCGTAGAGGAGCTGCTTGAAGGCTTCGTTTTCGATGAGGACCATCATGTTTTTGAGGAAGTAGCCTTCACAGTAGGCGGAGAGCTCCGTGACCCCGAGGAACTGCGAGAGGGAGCAGACGCCTTGTTACACACGCGAGAAAGGTGGCCGCCAGCTCGGGCCCCGCTGCAGAAAGGACAGGCCCTCCCGCCTTTGCAGCACTGACTTCCAGGCCTTGATTTATAGGTGGGGAAACAGGCTGAGCGCTGCCTATCCCACAGCGCCCCTCCCCATCTTATCACAACCAGCACAGGCTGTGTACGTGACTGTCACTCAGCACAGGCAGTGTAAGTGGGGACTAAGCACAAGAATTGCATTTGAGGTAGTGGGAGACATGTATTGGATGGTGGCTGTGACCAGCCGCACGCCTGTCTTCACACAGCTAACACCGGCAGAGGTGGAGCTGGAGCTCCCACCTCCTAGACTAGAGGCTGCCGAACTGCAGGCCCGTGGGCCAAGTGTGGCCCACCACTTGCTTCTGTCAATAAAGTTTTATTAGAACACAGCCACACCACTTGTTAACATATCACGTCTGGCTGCTTTTGCGCTGCAGAGGCAGAACGAAGTGGGTACAGAAGCAGCTGCATGGTCTGAAAGTTGAAAATAATGATGTGGTCCTTCATAGAATGTGTTTGCTGATCTTTTCCCAGGTTATAATTTTTTTTTAAGCAGTAGGGACCAAGCCTCATTAGTTTCTTATATTCTGATGAATGCAGTTCCTAGGAAACAACCAGGCTGTGGATCACAAGGCCGACTGCACTCTTCCTGGGCAGAGTAAAGCTCACGTACAGAGAAACCAGAATCATCAGCTGACATGCCTGCGCATGCATGTGTGTGGGATAAACCCAGGGCCTTGTGTATGTGCCACAAACACTCTTCTGCTGAGCAATACAGCCGCCTGGAAAAGCTTTCTTGTTTTGTTTTGTTTGAGACAGGGTCTCGCTATGTAGCCCAGGCTGGCCTTGAACTCACGGCAACCCTTCTGCCTCATCTTCCAAGTGCTAGGATGACAGGCATGCGGCACCACACATGGTTGGAAAAGCTTTCTTGAGCACTGACCATTGCTAGAATTATTTCAGATGCTTGTTAGGGGAGATGGGAGGGGACACAAGGTTAAGAATCTGTTTTGGAGGGAGACAGATCTGGGCTCCAGGCTCAGGGCTGTGCTCCTGAGTGTGCCCGCAGGGCCAGAGGGCAGGGCTTGAGCAGAATCCGTAGCCTGTGTTCACAGCGAGCTTATTCACAGGAGCCAAGAGGTGGAGCAAGCCTCCGACAGACTGACACAGAAACAGTCTAGAACACTGCTTGTCCCCAGAGCGAGTCTCAGGCTGGTGAACCGAGACAGCTGACCCCATCTCTCCAGTTTCTGGTTTGGAAGCTTTGGGGCGTGGCCCAAACATTCACATTTCTAACACGGTCCCTGCTGCTGCCGCTGGACTGGGGACCACACTTGGGGACCCACTGTTCTAGAAGCTTCCATTCAAGGTGTGAGTTGGCTCAGCCACAGAGAGGTCACCGGGTGCCAGGTTAGAAACACAGAGCCGGGCAGCTGTGGGCGCAGGGCCTGCAGTGAGAGCGCCGGCGCTGTGGGCTCGGGCCTCACCTTGGCGTGGCTGTAGATGTCCACGCAGTTGTCCGTGTTGATGCTCTTGGCACAGATGATCTCGCAGTGCCGCTGCAAGGCGTCCAGCTGGAAGAACTTGGCGGCAGACAGAAGCTATAATCGAACGAGAGAGAGAGCTTGTGAGGGGTGGTGACAACGGGGGCGCGGGGTGGACAACAAGGGAAAGCATGGTTGGGGCACAGGGAGGACGGTGCCGGACGAGACCATGCTTTCCTTTCCACCTGTCCTTCCAACATGCCGTTGCCCCTCCCTGGGGCCCGGGGCCCGGGGCTTTGTCCCTTGGGTCACACTGCTGAGTGCTGAAGTGAGGGGCTTGGGAGGGGCAGGGTTTTGTTGGGGCGGCCCCTGCTGTGCCCGACCCCACTCTGGGGCTCAGGCTGCTGAGGGCAGGCGCATCCCCACATCCTGGGGCAGGTGTTCCTGAGGTGGAGCAGCCTGGAGCCGATGCATTAATGTACGGCTCTATCTTCATCCAGGTCACGTAAAAACAGTATTCGGCATTTAGACTTTGGAGGACTTTCTAAAACGTTTACACCAGAGTCCTCGTCCTCTGCCTGTCTCCAGTCCTGGCCGGGGGAGATGTACTGGGCTGGCTACACCCTCACAGAAAGATGCTTCTAGCAGCCTCCAGAACACCTGGCATCATCCCTTCCCGGGTGAGGAAATAGAGGCCCAGAGGTCAAGTACCCTGCGAAGGTCACACAGCTGAGCCTTGCCATAGACTCTCCGTGTCTCCGACAGCCGGGCGCCCTGCTCCCACCATTGGCTGCTTTGTGGCTTCGGCCTCAAAGCTCCCAGCTTTGCTTGGAAAACTGGTCAGAATTCCACTTCCAGAAAAGAGTGGGGCCCCTCGGCCTTGGGCAGAGGGCGCGACAAGGCTGGGGTGGAGGTGGACAGGGCGGGGTGGCACATCAGTGCCAGTGATCAGGAAAAGGGCGGCCTGAGACTGAGACGTGAACCTGTTTCAGGGATGCCGTTCTCGTACAAATGACAAGGGAGACTTCATTTTCTGATTTTTTTTTTTTTTTTTTTTTTTTGTCCGATACTGGGAATTGAACTAATGACTCCTCTTAACGAGACAGGCACTTGTGCCCCTGAACTATATCCCCGCCCCTGGGTCATCTTCTGATGATGCTTTTCTGGGAGCCCCTGCACCCCCACAGTCATTAAGGTGGGGTCTCCCCAAGGGACACCGGAGAAACCCGTGCAGCTGGTGCGGGGGGAAATGGCGGTGTCCAGAGATGACTCCAGACACTGTCCAGCCACCCCTGGCCGGGTTACAGGTGCCACTCCCCGGGCTGGAACGCGGCCTGCCTGGCTCCTCACCTCCATGACCTCGTTGTTCTTGATGAGCAGGGACTCGGGGCCTCCGTAGTAGAGATACTGCATGACCAGCTGCAAGGGAGGGGTGCAGTGAGCCTGGCCGTCCCCTGCCCACCCGAGACCCCCATCCTCCCCTAGACCCCCATGGCCCAGCAGGAACCCCAGTGTCCCCCAGGGTTTCTGGCCCTGGTTCCAGGTCCGCCCAGGGCCAGATGGACAGACTGATCCTAGGCTCCAGGCCATTTTCCCCAAGTGGACAATAATCATACGTTCCTGTGGCCTGGCCCTGTCAGGCTGCCCAGGGGACACGGCCCACCTGGGCCCATCCCCGGGGCCACCTGGAAGCAATGTCTTTGTTATGACTGGACAGGCCCCAGGGTGGAGCCGCTCGGGGCCAGAGTCTCAGCATGCACTGATGGTGCCTCGATGGCCCAAGCTGGATGTCCGGCTGAGGGACTCAGGTAGCCTAACAGTGGGCTAGGCCCTGGAGCCTTGCCAGTGGCCGTCCTTTGAGCGGAATGAAGCTGGCCACAACAGCCAAGTATTCATTTTTCGGGGTGCACATTCTGACAGTCCTGGACCCCGCTCTCTGTCCAGCCGGCTTCACCCGTCTGGCTCTGTGGCAGCCGTGAACCTCAGCCTGGCGGCACTGGGCCTGGTCTGGGTGGACAGGTGGGCTGCCCTCCTCTCCCCACAGGCTGTCGGTGAGTGCTGTGGGACAGCAGCTGACAGCAAGATCTGGAGGGGACCCAGCTGCCACTTCCAAGCTGGGTGACCGGGGTTCAGGCCCTGGGAGTCCGAGCCACCATCTGTAAAGTGGGGACCAGGCCACCTCCTTCCAGGTGACGACGAAGACCAAACGCGCCTCAGGCCGGCGGGGCCTGGGGGCCTGCGGTGACAGCCCAGCCCTTTCTCCACGGCCCTGCCGCGTGCTGCCCCTGCCTGCCAGCCCCTGCACACACTCCCGGCCTACCTTTGCACTCTCTGTCTAATGTGATCAGTTTTTGTCTTGTTAGGAGTTTATTGAGATCGGTCAAACACAAAGCACACCCGGTGAGCGCGAACAGTGCCGGCTTTTAGCATCAGCACCGCGTGGCACCACCCCACCACTGTGGGGTTTTGGGACACTTCTCAGCCCAGAGAGAAACTTCCAGGTTGCCCCGCTCCACCTCTTGGCCCTGTCCCGAAGTGAGCAGATGCGAGCCGTGTGCACAAGCCCTGCCGTGTCCGGCGTCCTAGTGTGGAGTCCAGGCCTCCCCCGGCGGCCGCGCGCCCGTCCCTCGTGCTCTTGATGGCTGTCCACAGTGCGCTCTCACTGGGCCGCGTCTAGGGTGCATTCGCCAGCTCCCGGGGCCCGGGCTGCGTCCACACCCGGCTCTTTCAATGCTGCCGTGCGAATGCTCTGAGCATCGATTGCAGACGACGCCTGCGGCTCCCCTCCTGTCCTCTTCCTCCTCTGAACGGCTCTAGCCTTTTCTGCTCTACCCTCCCGCTGCTTTCCAGCTCCAGGTGTGTGTTTGCCAGACACTTCCCTTGGCATGGACACCGCCCTCGCTGGCTCAGGACGCAGCGCGGCGGTCGTGGCTCTGGGAAGCAGGGTCCCCGGGGTGGAGTCAACCTGGGAGTCTCAGGCTGGGCCTGACGGCCAGCGAGGCTGCTGCTAGCGGGATGAAGTGAGCCGCGTCGGTCAGGAGCAGCCCGTCGCTGCGGCCTCCTGTGCACACCTCTCGGCCTCCGGAGGCTTTTCTTCTTTTCCTGGAAGGGCGCCTGTCCTGAGGGCCGGCACAGCTCCCTCCCGTGGCGAGGACAGAGTGGCCAGGAAGCCCCTGGGGAGCAGTTAGAGGCTGCGGCCCCTGGGTCTGGGTCTCATTCCTCTGTGGAGAGTGAGAGCTCGGCCTCCTCCCAGGCCTCTTGCTCGGCCCCCAGTTCCTGCACAGACTCTCACGGCCCAGTCTGCTCTCTGCAGGGCTGGTGACCCCAGGGAGGACCCACGCGGCCAGCAGGAGGAGGAGGTGCTGCGGCCTGGACCTCAGCTTCGCCACAGCAGGGGTGGGCGGGGCTCTCTCTCCCGTTTCTCTTCCTCCTCGCCTTTGTCTTCCTCTTCCTCCTCTTCCTCTTCTCTTTCTTGCAGCACCGGGGACCCCAGGGCCACGTGCATGTAGGACAAGCACTCTACAACCAAGCTGCATCCCCAGCGTTTTAATTTTCCTTTGAGACAGTCTTGCTAATTGCCCAGGCTGGCCTTGAACTTTGATCCTCCTCCCTCAGCCTCCCGGGGGGCCAGGTCACAGGCACATGAGTTACTCATCTGTAGCAGCATCTGGGGCGGGTTCTGCACCTGTGTTTAAGGCGCATCCTGCCTGTGCCCAGGGGACGGGGACACCTGCAGAGCGGGCTGCCCGAGAGCACGGGTCCCACCTGGCTACAGAGGAGGAAAGGAGACAGCAGCTGGGTCCTGACCGGGGTCTGAGGCGAAGCTCTGCACTGCAGCCATCGGGAACACTGGCCCTGGTGGGACCCAGGGACACTCTTATCCCAGTCCCCAGGTGATGTCCTGAGCTTCCATGCCGGGCAGATGGGGACAAAGCCTGGCTCCATCTCCACCAGGCTGATGCTCCAGGCTTGTCCTCTCACCCGCCTGCCTCGGTGTCCCCTCTGCAGAAATGGGAGTGATGGTCCCACCAGCCACTACCCGCTGAGGCCACAGGGCCCTGCACCCCAAAGCCAGTTGGCGGTCACTCTGCCCCACTGCGGGGCCGCACTATCCTCAGGCAGCGGTGGCGAGGGGGGAGAGGGGTGGACAGGCCCAGCTCATGGAGACATCTGCCCTCCTCGTCCAGCCCCGCCTGAGGGACAGTACCAGTGGTCTGAGGTACCTGTGCTGACCTGATACTTTCTGGCTGTGCTTGGTCCTCGTGAGACCCAGAGACCCAGCTGCCAGGGACTGGCACGTTACAGATGAGGTGCAGGGAGTCTTGTCCTTTGATATCTGCGCAGGACTCTCTTTTCTTCTCTTCCTTTTTCATTTATTTATTTTTTGAGACAGGCTTTCACTAAGTCGCTGGGCTCTAACTTGTGATCCTCCTGCCTCAGCCTCCCAGAGTGCTTGGATTACAGGCCTGCGCCACTCCGGCTAGTGAGGATTCTTTATTTTCAAGTTTCAGCCATGGCCGAAGGAGTGCATCTCTCGTGGTGGAGACCCAGTGCTCAGCAGGCTTCAGGGCCGGGGTAGGGCTTGGTGCCTTCCTGGTGCCCTGTGGACAGTAGGGTCTGGGAACAGGGTCAGCAGAAGGGGAGCCACCATCTCGGGCCTGCCTCACCTCAGCTGGCTGGCCTTGCCGTGTGGTCCTGAGGCACCTTGGGACCTGGTGGGCGGTCACTGAATGCATTCTCAAATGCACCGGGCCCCATGTCCGTGCCTCGCTTGGTGATGCCTCCTCCCGGGAACATCTTGCTTCCTCCAGCCCTCAGCCCTTCCTTGGCCCCACCTTCTCCAGCTCTGATATCTGACTCCAGACCTCTTCTCGAGGGGCTTCCCGGACTTCCCTGCTCTGAACCGCCGCAGTGCTCCCTGGCCCCACTCTGGGCCCTCTCCGGACACTCACAGCCACTCTGTCTATACCTGGAGTCTCCAGAGAGGCACCGCTCACCCTCTGTCCCCAGACCCCAGCTCGGCCACCACCCAACCCCTGCCCGACTTCTCTGAGCGGCTCACCCCGGGCCCCTGCCCCCAGGGCTCACCTGGAAGATGGGGTACTTCACATAGCCGATCTCTATGCAGGTGCCATCATTGGCCGGCTTGCTGGACAGGAGGGCCTTGAACCTGTGCAACACACAGGGCGGTCAGAGACCCCCGCCCCGCCCCGCCCAGGACCCTGGCTCTGCGACCTCACGTGCACAGCCACCGATTTCTGCCTGCTCCCGCTGTGGTCCTGCACGGGCCAGGCCCTCTCAGTGGGCCGCGTCTCAAGCTTTCAAACATTTTTTTTTCTCATTTTGAGACAGGGTCTAATTTGCCCAGGCTGGCCTTGAACTCAAAATCCTCCTACCTCAGCCTCCTGAGCAGCTGGGATTACAGGTGTGAGCCACCGCACCCAGCTCACAGATGTCTGGATTTAAACCCTTCCTCTATGATGTCGTCATCTAACTGAAAGTCAAAACTCAAAAGCTAAACACTGCGCTTCGAACAACGTTGCACTGGTCCTCAGACTGGTGAGTGGCAAAGAATGGTATCTTTGAACCCTGTCATCCCCTGGCGCCCGGCGTAGGGCTGCCACTAAGGGCGCCCGTCCTGAGCTCGGGTCCTGGCTTCCCCAGTCCCCTGGCAGCCGCTGTTGGCTCCACGAGGCAGGGCGCTTGTGGCTCTGTCTCTGCAGCAGCCCAGGGCGGCCCTAAGGACCCTTGTCCTGGGGTCTTAGATGCATTTCCTGCCCAAGAACCAAACCCTGCGCCCCCGGGGGCAGAGACCCCACCCGAGGGAGCCGCGGCTCTGCTGGCTCAGGGGAAGCTCAGACGTCCGCCAGAGCCGAAGCGAGCCTCCGAGTTCTGATGAAGGGAGCTTCGAGAGAGGCCTGTCGCCTCTGTCCGGCTCTAGCCAGTGTCTTACACCGCCGGTGCTCTGGCGCTCATCCGCAACTGCAGCCAAGGGCTACGCGGGGACAGCAGGTTCTCCTCTCAAAGACCAAGGCTTCCGGGGTTTGCGTATGGCTGGGGGCACTGGGGAGGCCAGGTGCTCCCGGGAACCGGGGGTGCTGGGCACACGACCCCAGCAGCCTTCCTGGAGGCCCCCGGGCAAGGCGGTCCCCACTGTCCACTGCTCCTATGCCCATCAGGAAGGGAAGGGGCGGCAGAGCCGTGGGGGGTGACTTCCCCTTCGCTCCTACCCGACCCCGGCATCTGTGGACTCGGCCAGGGAGAAGCCAGGCCAGGCCCTGTGTGTTTGGCAGCCTGCGCCAGGCTCCTTCCTGAAACTTGGCACATGGGCGTCTTCAGGCTGCCACGGCAGGGGCCTTGGGTCGCTCACTGCACAAGGGTGCCGGGCTGAGGGGGCTCGCACCCACCACGGGGTTGCTCACAAAGCTCTGGTCTAGGCGCGGGGCTCTGTCTGCCCAGGAGAAGGGGCGCCTTGTTCTGGGTTGCGCAGGGGGGCTTCCTGTTCTCTGAAATTCTTGATTTTGAGGGCACTCTGCCAGTCCGGTGGAGCGCTCCGTGGAAATCGAGCCTCAGAGGACAGGCAGAGTGGGATGCAGCTGAGGACCGCGGGGTACGCACCTCGGGGAGGCCGTGAACAGCAGCACTTTGTGAGCGTAGAACGGCCTCCCTTCCACGAGGAAGGTGACGTCAGACATCTCCTTGTTATTGAGGAAGTGAGGGTCTACGAAGGAAGGCAAGGGAAGGGTGGGGTCAGCTGTCCCCAGGGCACCACCTGACCAGCTATACCCTGTCTGCACCGTCCCCGCTTCCTGTGTCCAGCACAGAGGGAGGGAAGACGGCGAGGGTGCGGGCTCTGCTGTGTGACCCTGGCCACACTAGTCAGCAGCTCTGCCTCAGCGTCCCTTCTGTAAGGTGGCCTTGGGAATAACCAGGGCTCACCTCTAGCACAGGATTAAGCAGATTCATGTATGTAAGTGCTTAGGAAACTGCCGGCCTGGGCGCCTCCAGGCACCGCCAAGCCGTCCACCTCACTTAATACTCTCCAGGAACGAAGGGCATCAACCTGGCTTCAGAGACAGCACCACCCTGTGACCCCAGGAGTCCCCGTAATCAGAGGGAGGTGTTGCCCCGTCCCTGTCCTCCCCAGGGGCTCCCCCAGAGTCTCTCCCCGTAACCCCCTCCACGGTCCTGGAAGCCCCGCCTGGACTGTGTGCCTTGGTTCCCCTTGCCCGGCGGTCCTGGGGCGCCAGCCTGCGCCAGGCACTCACCCAAGCGCGAGGTCTGCTTCCTCTTGATCTCCGCCAGCTTGGGGATGGGGTAGGGCCCGTAGCAGTGCGTGAAGATGACACACAGCTGCTGGCCGATCACCTCGTTCTGCGGGGGAGAAGGAGCGGTCATGTGACCAGGGCCGAAGGTCACCCGGGCAAGGGGGCCACATTTTCCTGCAGGTCCCCGAGGGGCCCAGTACTGAGAAAATAAATTTTTAATCCCAAATGCGCTTTATCAATAATCTCCAATTCTGGAAGCAGCTAATTATCCTGTCCTGTGACTGCACTCGCCACTAAGGAGACAAACGCTCCTGATTCAGCTTTCTTATGAGCTGGGTTTCTGGATCCGGGACTAATCAGTTGAATCACATCCTCCAAAAATAAAAAAGGTGGGGACGCTGTGGTCCCAACTCCAGGTGCCAAGCTTGCTCGGGGCCCCAGGAGCCCGTGCCCATCGCCCTCTGCCTCCGCGCTGGGCATGGTGCTCAGGCGGACACAGCACAGGGGTGGAAATGTGGACGAGAGGGGCTGGGAGAAACGGTTGCTCTCCGTGGCTGCCTCAGTGTCCCCTGGAGCCCCGTACAGGCTTGGTCTCCGTCCGCGGCACTGCTGGGGGCGGTGTCTGCTCTGTGAGCCGTGCCTAGAGCAGGTCCCGGCCTTTGGGCGGGTTCCTGGTGGGGACTGGGTGTGCGCCCTCCCCAGGGGCCCGGGAACCAGCCTCAGCCGACCTCTCCCTCAGGCTGGTCCTCTGGGTGCTCTGCTGTAGTACCGGAAGTTTGCTACACTCCTGGAAACTTGCTACAGTACCGGCAGGCAGCTGAGCAGTGTGCCGAGGAGGAAAGGGTTGGGACCATTCTCGGATCCGCTGCCTGGGCCCCGAGCCGGAGGACACGGTCAGCTCCGGACAGCAAGCCCACACTGTCCCAGGACGGCGGGTGAGGCTGACGGCTCCTGTCACTGCACACCGACCCTCGGGGGCTGCGGAGGAGGGGGGGGGCTCTGCTCTCCACACGGCGCCTCACAACCCAGGCGTGTTGGACGCCCTTCTCCGGACAGCATCCGGGGGCTGCCAGCCCCTGCTGGATGCAGGGGTTCTCAAACTGTGTTCCCTAGACCACAGTGTCAGCACCCTGAGTGGCATCAGAATTGGGATGCCACAGGCCTCACCCCGACTGTGGGACTTGGAAATGCAGTCATACTCTTCCCCTTAGCCTGGAGAACCACAGGAAGCATGGCCTTTGGCTTTCCCCACGTGTGATCTGGGCTGTGGGCCGTGAGGTTGCCTCCTTCCCCCAACTCCCAGCCCAGAGACACTTTTAAGAACAAAAGCCCAGCGGCCTACAGGCTGGGCTGTTGTTTGGAGCAGCGGCAGCATTCCCTGCTGCTGGGCATGGAGCGCACTGCAGGGTGAGCCTTGGGGTTGGAATCACTGCTCCCCTCTTGCCCTCAGGGCTCCACCCACAGACCCCAGTGGGGTCTGCATTCTCAGTCTCAGAGTGCTGCACGCCCTGCTTCCTGCTGGGTTCCAATCCCTGTCTCTCCTAGTGGGCACCAGGTGACTTCTGCTAACCCCCAAGGGCACTGAGGGGCACATGCGTGGCACGTGTGTCTCCCCAGCTTCCGTGCAAACCTTGAGATCCCTCCTGGCCTGCATGCCTGAGCCCTGGGATGTGACAGGTGCACCCGCGGCTGCACAGGCAGCTGGCCCGGGCCCCACTGGCGGCTGTGACTCCCTGGTCCGTCCCGGAGGGCAGTGCAGGCCGGGGGACGTGCACCGCAGCTGAGCAGTCCCGGCCCGCCCCTGTACCTTGCTGGCTTTCAGGATCTCGAACATGAGCGGCAGGCCCTGGGTGATGAGCTCCTCCGTGTACTCCTCCTCCTGGATGGTCTTGAACTCCTTGAGCAGGCACTGGATGAGCGGCCGGCGGTGCTGCTGGAAGGCGATCCGCAGGGACTCCAGCCACGTGTGCAGCGTCCAGGGCACGCCTGTGGGGGACCGCGAGGGGCCGTGTTCTCACCTGCGAGTGGGCCCTTCCCCGGGCGTCACCGGGTTTGAGACCCAGAGGCGAAGGTGCAGTGAAGACAGCCAAGATGAGCAGAAGCCGGGGCTGGGACCCCATGCACACGCGCAGGAGGGCTGCGACCCGGCACAGCCTCTGCCCTCTGCTTGCAGGGAGGAGCAGCTCGGGGAAGGGACAGTCTTGTCTGTGTTGGGGTACCCACACCCACAGGAGGGCTAAGACCCGGCGGCACCCTCAGCAGACCTCACCGGCTCCTGTACCCGCCGGCGGGTCCCCGCCTGGGTGGCAGGGCTCGGGACACGGCCTCTGCAGCTCCCCCGCGCCACCTGCTCTAATGGCAGCTGCTGCCCCTCACGGGGAAACTGAGGGCACTCGCCTCACCACTGTTCTGACAGGGGCACACCCAGCGCCAGCTCGTGGGCTACGCCCTGGACAGCCACCCAGGGAGGTGCCCCAGCCCCTGTGTGCAGGCTAAAGCCGCGGGCCAGGCTGGCCTGCTGCCGGGCACCCTCGGGCCGCGGCTCCTCCACCAGCTGAGCTCCAGGGTGATTGTTAAACATAAAGATTTCCAGCCTTTCCTGCCCAGACCCCATCAGCAGCCCCGGGGAGGTGCCTGGTGAGCTGTGGTCGCAGCTCCGAGGATGGGATTCAGAGCCAGCATCCAGGTTGGGGAGGTGGCAGGGGCTGCTGTGTGAGGACAGGGGACCGCGATCCTACTCCAGCCATTGAGGGTGTGTGTGCAAGGGTGCGTGTGTGCCTGAGTGTGCATGTGCGTGTGTGTGACAGAGACTGGCGGAGACAGAGAGATAGAGCAGACAGAGACAGACGCAGAGGCAGAGGCAGAGGCGGGGGAGGCTGGCCTCTGACCTAGCCGGGGTCCCCACACCGACCTATGCTCCTGATGTCAATGGTGACATCCACGTAGCCGTGCTCGGCGCTGTGGTACATGGCCTCCCTCAGGGCCCTCAGCTTGGCCTTGCTGTTGCGGCTGGCACACAGGGCAGGCGGGGCAGTGTCCGCCAGGTCAGTGCCCTCGGCCAGAATCTCCTCCAGGGACAGGATGTCGCTCTTCTCCTTCTCTGGCTGAGCCAGCAGTTTTCGGAACACATTCCTGTCAATCACAAACCCGAGAGGAAGACGCTCAGAGATGCAGGGGGATGGCGGGACGCCAGGGGCGACAGGCCCGTTCTGGGGTGGCAGCTTCGGGGGCCTGACCCCACAGGATGCATTTTGGGGATGGATGGGGGTGCTGTGACCGGCCTTGTTGGCTGAGTGCAGCTTGGGGCTTGGTCATTTCCAGAAGATTCTAGAGCTTTCTGCCCTTTTGACTATTAGCTTAAATCCGCTTTCCCTGGGGAGGTGTGAATGAACTGTGGTGGGCGTGGGTCCCAGAGGAAGCTCAGAAGGAAAACAGGGGGTGTGAGGGGCTTGGGTGTTTTCTGTGTGGAATCCTCTCACTTCTGATGGCAGGCACGGGTTGACATGCCACGCTAACGTGGCTGCACGGGGCTGGGAGCAAGTGAAACCAGCCGGAGTCTGCGTGGACGCGTGCTGTCTGTGGAGGGGCCTCACAGGCTGGCAGGCAGAGTCCCGGGGAGAGGATGGGTCTGGGCAGGCCTGGGAATCTGCATATTTAACAAGCCCCGCGCGGCTGCCCTAGCCTACCTGTGTCCATGGGCTGCGGCCTGGCTGAACGAGTTCATGTCCCCCTGGGGGGTGGTAGAAATCCCGTTCCTGTACATGGTTCCTATCAGGGGGTCTGCACCTCGCTCCAGCAGCAAGCTAACCAGCTCAAAGTTTCCTGCAAGCCCAGAGAGGGTGGTGCATGAGGGGTCGAAGCGGTATAGCCTCCCAGGCGCATGCAGGAGCCAGGCGGGGACAGCGGCTTACCCACGGCGGCTGCCAGCTGCAGGGGCGTCTCGGAGTAGTTCTCCTCGCCATGCTCCACAGAGCCCTCCACCTTGGCCCCGGCGTCCAGGAGCAGCTGAGGGGAGAGGGGTCATTGAGATGCTTCAGGACCATGCAGACGGGTGAGGAGCTGACGCTGTCCCCCATGGGCCATGACCTCACGCATGGGGCTGGAGGACCAGCTGGGGGCCGCCTGTGCCCTCGGGAGCCCTGGGCCGCCACGGTGTGGTCCATACAGCAGCACGGCGTGTCGTGAGGCCGCTGTCCACCTCCCCGGGCTCCTGCACCACAGTCCACTGCTCAGAAAGAGCTCCGGGGTCTGCACCGCACCGAAGCTCCCAGAAACCCGGGCTAGAAGTCCTGAGCGCCAGAATGCCAGGTCCTCCCGGCCGGGGGGTGCAGTGGCCTCTTGCAGCCACCACCTCTGGAGTTCCAAAGGACTTTGGGGACATCCATGGCCACCCAGGGCAGAGCCCCTTCTGGGCCCCTGAGTCCTCTGGACAGGAATTAGGAAGCGGCTGAGTGAGCGTCCAGAAGTTTTGCCTCTCAGGATCTCATCTGGTACAAGGGACGGTACCCAAGCCTCTTAAAGGTGGCAGAGCCTATCCATGCCACCTCCCTGCCCAGTGGGCACCTGGGGCACAACCAGGCAGTCCATCCTGGGACTTCCATGATGGGTGGCACCATGCTGGGGAGGTGGCCTGACTGCCGAGTCACTGTTCCCACTCCCGATGACTGCCTGGTAGGCACTTGTGGCATCTCTGTCCCTGCACTACCATCTGTTGCTTCCTCCTTATCCTCGTCTCCTGGGAGGGGACAGGAATGACGCTCTATGGCCAGAAGCCACCCACCTCCAGGGTGACCTGTGAGAGCCTAGCCTCCCAGAACGTCGCTTTGGACCTGTCCTTGGGATTCCTGTTACCCAGGAAAAACCAGGGCTCCTGTGAGGACCCAACCCCACCTGGCTGTCCCTGCACACCACTCCTGCTCTGCAGAGACTTCCAAGGCCTGGCCATGGAGAGGAGGCAAGCACCCGCTGTCCCGAAGCTCAGCAGCCCCTGGGTGCCAGGCATGGCCAGACCCACTCACTGATCCCTCTGCTCCCACGAACCAAAGACCAGCCACAATCCTGGACGCATGGAAAGCGACTCACTGGACCCCAGCTCCACCTCAGCCAGTACAGTGCGAGGAGACACGTCTCCGTGCCGGGACCTATGACGTGGGCTCGTCACCAGGAGCACACGCTAAGGCCCGGCCCCGGCTCTCTGGATCGGAGCCTCCAGAGTGGGGCCCAAACCAGCACTGTCTGGAAATACCCCCTTGTCCTCTGGGTGCTTCTCCCCGTGGGTGGAAACCCCTAGATTCCATGAAACACCGGTCCCGCCTCAGGGAGGCTCCGAGCGTCCCCAGAGGGGACAAGTCTCCTGTTCACATGACAACAGGCAACGCAAGCAAATCACAAAGTCACAGCTGAGGTCCCACCCCCACGGGCAGCCAGGAGGAGTGTCTGCGGGTGCCCCTCTGTGAGGCTGTGTGTGGGCCATGATGATTTCATATTGGTTAAAGCTGGGCCGAACAGACCATTACCTATGATATTTTAACCCACGGATGTAGATATGAATTTCCTCCATTTAATTGCAGTTAACCAATATGAATGTCTTAGGGAAGATGCATGCTGGGAGATGTGTAGAGCTGCACCCGAGAGGCAAAACGAAAGGTCAGATGTGGAAGGGAAGTGCGTTAATACCTGAACTACAGGAATATGTCCATGCAACACGGCAAAAGTCAGAGCCGTCCAGTGGCGGGTCTCGGGGTGGACGGATGGATATTTATGAGGAGTACTGACAACCTACAAACAAACGAGGTTATTTTCAAAACGTGACCTTTGCAGTTCTTGGCTAGCAAATCTGACCTATCCGTGGTGGCACGTGTGGGCTGGACACACACAGACAAGGGCTCCCAGGCGGTGCTGGGGACGCTGACGACTGGGGACTTGCCCTGCGGGACACCCTAAAGTCCGGTCACTGGAGCTGGCCTTGGTCGTGCCTGTGTATGTAAGAACAGAGCCGGAGGCCACCTCCAAAAGTTGGCCCTTGGAGGACCACTCTGGGGATTCCGTCTAGAGGGGAGAGAGAAAATTTCCCAGTGACTTTTGTTCTCCGTGCCCCCGCAGGGACGACTTTGGATCGTATCCCGGGACAAGCAGTGATGGGGGTACAGTGAGCCCCCCTCCTCCTCCTCGCCTCTCCCCTGCCTCCTGCTTGTGGGGGTGGCTCCGGGAGCTACAGGGTGTCCGACAGCGGTAAGGCTCACTACCAAGCCATCCTCACTGTCCAGGAGGCTCTCGGGACGGCGGCCCCTCCAAGCTTCGCTCTGGGCCAGACCATCAGACCCGGGGGAAGGGGCTGCTGCTGCACACGGCTCTCTCCAGCCTGGCCCTGGCTCTTTGCTGGCTTCCTGGGGGTCAAGGCCCCTCTTGTAGCTGGGAGCATGGGTCACACCAGGGCTGAGCCTCCCGGGGCTGGGCTCTCAGCATGGGCCCAGGGGCCTGGCGTGGTCCTACATGCTCATAGCCACCCTTGCTCTTCTCCCGGTGTTCCTAGACTGTGTGGCTGGGACACCTGTAGTGTAGCTCACTAGACCATGGATCAGCTGGCGGGGAGGACAGGAGACCCTCACCTGAACCCAAGCACAAGCCTCAGAGCAGGGGAGGAAAATCCCCAAAGCTGTCTAGATCTAAATCTGCCTAGTGTATGCTTTCCTCAGATGAACTTAAAGCTCACTAATTAAAAAAAAAAAAAGCACAGTACAGAGACTGCAGGGGCACCTAATTTTGGACTTTAAAGTTTCCTGAAGTCCCTGGCTGAAGGCTGAGCGTGCCAGTCTCTCTGGGCCTGAGGCTGCTGAGTTGGCCGGGAAGAGCAGGTCTTCGGGTCAGCAGAGAATGTGGCCCGACGTTCCCAGTGTTAGGGGAAGGTAGACCAACTAACCCTAGTGGAGTCTCAAGCCTGCCTGTGCTGGGCTCTCTGTCTGTCCTCCCAGGAACTGTGCATGGTACCACTGGACTCCCAACTCACAGACGGGAGCAGAAGGTTCCCCCAAAGCAAGTCACCCTAAGTCTGTTCAGTTCCAAAGCCTGTGGGTAGCGGGGACACACAGGGTTCCTTGAGGAAGCCCGGATCAGCTTGAAGACCTGTGGGCTCAGCCAGCGAGGTGAGCCTGTCCGGATCTGGTGGGGGAGCTAGAGGGGCTGGGTACCTCGGCTGGAGGGCCAGGTGCCTTCTGCTTGGGTCAGGCAGAGGGGACGGGCTGGCAGCTCAGGGAGCTCTCTGCCCAGATCCCGGAAGGAACAGATCAGAGGGTGCAGCTGGCACCACCAGGACAGCAACAGCAGGGCCACCTGCAGGGGCGGGGTTGCTCGAATTGCGACCCAGGTGGAGGCGGCTCCCGGGAGTTGGCCAGCTGGGGCCTTGGGATGGACAAGACCATCTTGCCAGGACCACGGCCACCGAGAGGGCGAGAAATGACCTATCTGTCCAAGGGCAGTCCCGCAGTGGTGGCCCCACGAGGCCAGCCCCCCTCTCCTGGCTCGCCGGGGGCCTCGCGGCCCTCTGGCCCTCGCGGCCCTCTGGCCCTCACCTCCACATTCAGGTCAGCTCCGGCGTCCAGCAGCATCTGAACCATCGCCTCGTCCCCACGGACGCAGGCGTGCATCAGGGGGGTCATGCCCTGCGGTGAGTTAAACCAGAGAACGGACAGCGTTTACAAGGTGGCGGTGGCCAGTCAGCAAACACAAAGGGAACGTCCCCGCGTGTGTCGGGGCTGCGCTCGAGCGCGAGACCCAGTGTGGCTCATGGGCCGCGGCCCCCATGCTCTGGAAATCCTGGTGGGGGCGAGCAGGGAGCTCACACTGCCGCCGGCGTTTCTCTTTGCTCGAGTTGAGGGCTTTCCTTCGCTCGTCTGTTTCAGGGAAGAAGGGACCTATGCTGTTTGTGAAAACAAGCAGCTGATTTCAAGTAGGGCTCTCGGGACTTCCTGGGTTCTGCGGTATCAGCCCCAAGCATCTAACTGATGAACACAGGTTCCTTGACATTTTCTCTTTCACAGTGTAATGAGCGTCCTCTGGCTCTGTGGAAGCTGCCGGTCAGCATCAGGGGTACCGGGATGCCTCTGAGCCTGTGATGTCCCTGTCACTGACATCGGCTTGACAGAGTCATTTATACGCAGGAGGCAAGCGAAGGAGGAACGGCTTTCGGGAGTAGCTTATTATAAATGCACCCATGGCCAACAGGAGGGAGGGAGGGACGGTGCCCCACCCAGCAGCGTCGAGAAGGAAGCTATTTGGGAAAACAAGGCAGAGCCTTATCTCACAGCATGCGCCAAAGTCACTGCTAGTTTGTTTAGAGATCTCGAAAAATGTACAATCAATAAAAGATACCTCACTGGCCTCTGGATCTACTTCCAATCATAAACATCACAGAAGAAATCAGAAAGGAAAATGATAAAACTGAGAACACGATAAACAAAATCAAAGATAAGCAATAAACAGAGACATATTTGGTACATTACGGCAAGTATATAAAGAGCTCTTCTCAGTAAACAAGAAGAGCAGTAAACTCCGCTGAGAAGCAGGCAGGGCCACAGGGAAAGCGGACAGGCTGGGGAGGCTGTGAGGAGACTGAGCCCGGGGCGGTGACTTAGGACAGGCGGAGGCTTCTGAGGCGCCACTTCCGCTTTTAAGTTTCCCTCATGAAATAATCAGAGACTTGAACACAGACTGGTGTGAGTGAGTTTAGCCCAGCATTATTAGCAAAAATAATTAGAGCAAGTGAAATACCCAGCCCATGAGCTACGGCTCGCGAATAAACAATGTGACTGTTCTCTGCCATCGTCAGAAGTGATTTTTAGAGCATTCAACACTATTGCAAGCTACCTTTTGTATAAAACACTTGAAAAGGCGATGTGGTAAATCCCTGGATTGTAAAAAACAACATAAATGTGTGTGCGCTTGTGTGACAATTAGGGCTCCCTGGTGCAGCTCAGGAGAAACACTCGTCCTAAGTGGACAGTCCCCATCCCGCTCTGGCACTGCCAGGGGCTGCCCATCTGCCCTCGCAGCCTGCTGTCTGCCACTCGCAGTGCAGCCTCCGTGTCTGCCCCCTTCCCCCAGGTGTCGCTCTGGCTGTGGACACCAACACCTCTCCCTGCGTTGCTTTGAGGATCTGGGGCGGATCTGCCTATCTCTGAGGTGCCTCCGGGGGTCTCCAAACTGACCCACATGTCTCAAAGTTTGGTTGACTCGGCCTGGACATGTCCTGTGCAGTAACAGGGAGACGGGTGCGGCGCTGACAATAATCACACTGGCAAAGGACTCAAAGGATGTGCCCTGAAGGTACACGGTGGTCATCTGCCTTGGGCACTGTCTCCTTCCTGGAAAAGATTTATTTTTCTCTCTTCCATTTCAGCTGCAATAATCATGTGCTACTTCTATAAAGATGGACAAGAGTATTTGTATATTTTAAAACCCAAAACCAAAAAGTCTTAAAGGAAGAAAGCAAGCCCCCTGGGCGGCCGGCAGAGGGCGCCCGGGCAGCGCGGCGCGGGGCAGGTGGTGCCGTACCTGTTCGCTCATGGTGTTGATGCCGTCCGGCCCCAGCAGGGACACTGCCTGCTTCACCAGGTCTGTCCGCCCGCAGTTCAGCATCCTGAAGCCCAGGTCCTGCTTGAACTTGGCTTCGATGGCCACCGCGTCCAGCTTCCGGGAGGCGCAGAAGCAGTCATCGGCCCTGGGGAGGGAGGGACAGTCAGAGCGTTTGGGGCCTTCCGGGGCATCATGTGCTTTGCGTTTGCTTTCTGGTCCCTTGCCAATTCCCAGGCTCCCAAGGGAGCCACTGCCTCCTGGGGTCCCTGCATCCTGTCCCTCCAAGCCGCTGTGGCCGGCCTGGCCCGGGGGGGGGGACGACCCTGAGCTGAGTGCCACAGGGTGACTAACGGCCAGACGCTTGGGCAGGCCAGGTCCTCTGCTCCAGGCCCCACGCAGGCGCATGCACCAGGAACAATCACCGCCCTCTCAACCTGCGGGTCAGACAAGCACCGGCCCCCAGGGCTGCGCAGTCTGCAGGTGTGGGCGGTAGCCTGTGTGTCAGCTGCGTCCCCGTCAGCAAGGGCAGCTCCGACTGCTGCCCGTTCACCCGTCGGACGCCTCCTGCCAGGCTGGGGGCTTTGTGTGCGAGTCTCTGTCACATCCTGCAGCCTGCGAATGTCAAGTGCAAGCTGAGCAGACACAGGCAGAGGATTCCCTCCAGTCAGAGCACAGCAAGACCGCAGGCCATGAGAGGAGCCGGCCCACAACAGCCAGGGCTATGGGAGCTGTCCGCCAGCCCACAGCTCAGGGACAGACGCCAGGGAAGTGGTGGGGAGGAGGCGGCCACGCAGACATTGCTGGCAAAAGCTGGCACTGCCCTGGCTGGGCGAACCTGTCCTCCAGCTGCTTACTGCATAAGATCACCTGCACTGGTGTCCCGCCCTGGGAGCCCACTGGCTGGAAAGACAGGATACAGCACATGTTGTCTTAAGCCCATGTGGCAGGTGGGGCACGGGGGTGCCGCCTGTCATCCCAGCACCTGGGGAGGCCGAGGCTGGAGGACAGGAAGTTTGAGCCCAGCCTGGGCTACTTAGTCTCTCAGCAAGACCCTGTCTCAAAGTGAACAACAAAACAGGGCTGAGGTGCTCAGTGGGAAGGGCCTGGGCCCCATCTCCCATACCGCGAGAAAAAGTCACAGGGCGAGTGAAGGGTGAGGGATCGGAGACGGAGGTTACCCAGCAAACGCACCATAGGAGCGGCAGGAAGTGGCCACGCACAGCAGGAGTGTCCAGCAGCGGGTCGTGGGGAGCCGCACTGCAGATCAGGGACAAGAGGTGGGGTGGGAGGGGCAGAGGCATCCCTAGCAGGGCCGGGTGCGCAGACAGACGCAGCGCCCCAGGGCGGCCTTGGGGGTGGCAATGTTTCCGGGGCAGGATCTGGACAGAGAGGCCCACGGGCCCAGGCGCTCACCCTCACACTCGCAAGGGCTGCTGAACGGCAGGCAGCGAGGTGGGGGTGCCACCTCTTGCCAGCAGGAGGGTGGGCGGGAGGCGCCCCAGAGGCAGGCAGACTGTCAGTGCTGAGCTGACCAGCTGAGCAGCAAGCAGGACGAGATGGGGACCGAGTGAGAACTGCGGTTCAGGGACAGGGCCCAGCACGGGCTCTTTTTCCTTCCTTGCAGTGCCTGCTCCCCGCGGTGACCTCAGGAGCAGGGCTGCCCCCACTTCCTCTCGTGGTGCAGGGTGGTGCGGCCTCACAATGTGCCATGTGGGGAAGGCAGGGGCGGGGAGGGACGATCTCCCTTCTGCCCCTGGAGGAGCCAAGAAGGTGACTTGCTGCAGGACGTTTGTGTCAGGCCAGGAGCTGGGCAAAGACTGAGGGCTGGACAGCCACGGGAGCCTCAGGAAGCAGACAGAAGCTGGAGCCGGGCTCCTCCCGATCCACCCTTCCTCCCTTGCTGCTCGGACCCAGCAGCGCAGCTTCCTGCCACCAGAGGGCGCAGGCGTGGTGCAGAAGGGCCCAAAAGGGTGGCCATGGCCCGGGAGAGCCGTCAGGCCAGGCTGCCAAAGGCCTGTTTGTTTGCAGCCCTGAGGGGACCGTGGAAGTACGGAGGGCACCAGGCTGCACAGACCTGGACTCCAGGACAAAGGCCTCCCAGTGGCAGGTGTGGGAGGCAAGACCACTGCCCCCCAGCCACTCTCCTGGGAGGACCACGGACCAGGCTGGCAGAGGGTGAGGCCCAAGCGTCCGGGCAGAGGGCCTCAGGGCGCAGAGCGGGCAGGGCTGTGAGGTCAACTGGCCCAGCTCTCCGGGGCTTGGGGCTTGGTTCCCGGGCTGGGGGTGCCAGCTGACGCAGGTAAAGGACACCCGCGTCACAGAGTGATCTGCTGTCCCCTCTTCAATCGGGGGAGAGGCGGGGCCGTCTGACTGTGGACACGGGGTGCACACACGTCTGTCTCCAGAGGGAAGCAGAGGCCCTGGCACGGTGGTGGGCTCACCCCAAGACCAGTGGTTCCTAAAAAAGGCTACAGAAGGAGCTTCAGAGACCACGGAGAAGGCAGCGGAGGTTCAGGGACAGCACAAGGGCCTTGGGCGAAATCAGGGAGGCCTTAGGAAGGGAGCGGAGTCTGGACCCGAGGTGGGCAAGGACGCCCACCAGCAGGCCTCAGAGTCCCCATCTGAGGACAAGGGTGCCGCAGGTGGCTGTCACCCAGACAACCCCGAGGTCCTGTGCCTGCCTCCTCTGTCCCCAGGCCCCTTCTGATCGCCTCAGGGCTCAGGGACTCACTGCAGTCAGCCTTTCCGATTTTGTCTTTTCCTTCCTGCAGGCCCAAGGTCCTGAGCCCCGTGAGTGTCAGGCGCCTCCTGTGGACAGGGGGGCTCAGGAGGAGGGAGACAGACCCAGAGCCCCAGCACTCAGGCGCGTCAACAGATCTTCCAAAAGCGTCAGAAGTGTTTACCAGCTCCGAGGTCCTTGATTTTAATTAGAAAGAGACAAATGGCAAGAAAATTACTGCAGCTAAGATGATGCTAATCTTTATTACAGGAAGCTGACGCTGACTGAACACTCACTACTGAAACCTAAGCGCTTCCTGTGCATTCACTAAGCCCACGATCTAAGTGCTATTGGAAGCCCACTCCAGAGACAAGGAAACTGAGTCACGGAGCTGGCTAAGGGCTGAGCAGGAGTAGTTTGAGGGACCTGACACCCCACTCAGCCCCTCAGTGGGGCCCGGAGCCTCTGTCCTGCCCACGTGTCCCACACCCAACTCAACTCCACCTCTTTGCACTGAGGTCCCTCAGAGCTTTCTCGGGGACCTTGCCCCACACCCCAAGTCTGTCTGGTCACTCCACTGGGTCATCGCAGCAGTCTACCAGGCACTCATGTCAGACTGGTTGCACACCGTGTCCCTCTGCTGGCCGGTGCTTTACCACCAAATCCCAAATCTGCTGCTCCCCTGCCTTCCAGCGCCCCGTCCTCAGCCCCAGGTGGCTCTCGGGCCTTGAGTGAGGTGACAGCCTCGGCCACGCCATCCCCGCCACAAGGTCAAGCTGAGCTCAGGACAAGGACCGGAGCCATGCCACACTCCTGCTGAAAACCTCCTGCCACCTTCCAGGCTGCCAATGAGAAAGCCACTCTGCAGGCGCGGCCTGAGGGGCCCACCTGCACCTCAGTTCCCGCCCCTTCCTCTGCCTCCTGCCCCTTCACAGGCCCAGGGCAACCTTGCTGCAGACTTTGCCCTGCAGAGCGGGCGGCGACCGACCACTCGTCTCCACACCCTCCTGCCCCTCCACTCACCACCTCCCAGCCAGCCCCGTGCGTCACCTTTCACAGTCCGTCAGTCTTTCATTTACTGGTTTTTTTCATTTACTGGTTTTTCAGTATGCAGTTCAGGCTGGCCTTGAGCTCACTTTGTAGCCCAGGCTGGCCTCGATCTTGCAATGATCCTCCTGCCTCAGCCTCCCGAGAGCTGGGATTACAGGCGTGCGCCACCACGCCCGGTGTCATTTACTTTTTAAAGTTGGTTTCTTCCACCAGCATCTCCCTCTCCTGGGTGGGACCACCTTGGCCGCTCTGCTGTAGCTGAGACAGCGCAGCACCAACCCATGGAGAGGCATGCACCACCCATCATCCACTCTTTTCTTTAAAAAAGCAGTTAATTTAATCATAATCCATCGCTAAAATTGGATCTGCTTTGGGGTGTGATGTGATGTTTGGAGACGTCCATGCCTTGTGGAATGGCCGCGGTGATACATGCATTGTATCGCAAGCTGGTCATTTGTGGAGAGAACACTTCAGATCTGCTCTCAGCAGTCTCCCAGGTACAAGTAACCACAGTGCCCGTGGCATCCCTCAGGTCTCTTGACTTTCTTCCTCGGGCCTCACTGAAAACTTGCCTGCTTTGACCAACATCTCTCTGGTCTCCCTCCACACGGCCAGGCCCTGGTAGCTGCGTTCTACTCTTTCTAGGCGTTCAATCTTTTCAGGTTCCGTATGTAACTGAGGTCATGGGGTATTTCTTTCTGTTCCTGGCTTATTTTACTTCACATAACGTCCTCCAGTTTCATTTATGCTGTCAAGTGACAGGGTTTCCTTTTTAATGGCAGCATAGTGCTTCGTCACACATAAAGGCCATGTTTCCTTTATCTATTCATTTGCAGAGGGACAGGGAGGTTCAGTCTGTATCTTGATATCCTGGCTGTTCTGAACAGGGTTTCAGTGACACAAGAACACAGAAACTCTCCTCCATAAAATGATGTGTTGCCTTTGGATTTATGCCCTGCAGCAGCATTGCCGGATCAGATGTAGCTCTATTTACTTTCTGTGTTTTGAGGACCCTTCCTAATGCTTCCTGCCATAGCTGTGCTAACTTACGTTCTCAGCAGCAGTGTGTAGGAGTCCTTTTCCTCATACCGTTGTCAGCACTTAGCTCTTTGACAGCAGCCATCCCGACAGTGTGAGCAGCACCATCCTGTGGTTTTGAGTTCACTTCCCTGAGGATTAGTGCCGTCGAGGATTTTTCGTGCACACTTTAACCATCTCTGTGCTTCCTCTGAGACATGTCTGCTTAGGCCCTTTGCTCATTTCTAAACTGAGTGGTTTGTCGTCTTGCTTTGGATCGAGTTCCTTCTGCATTTTGGCGAGGAACCCCTTCAGATTTGTGTTTGCAAGTGTCTTCTCCCATTCTGCAGTTGTCCATT